TTCCCTGCAGGAAGGGAGCTCATGCAAAACTGGTTAGTGATTAATCACCAGCCCTTGTCTGGGAAATAATATAGGGGCTGACGAGTCTCGGTCTAGCAATATTCACGAGTGGGGATGTTGGTCTGTTAGTACCCAAGTGGGAGAGGATTTCTGGTGCTGCGGAGGGCTGGGCGAGATGCTCGTGGGGCAGAGGGCTCGTCCCCTCCGGGAGATGCCCCAGGGCCGCCTGCAGCCCCCCTGGAGAGCCAGGCTGGAGGTTCGTGCTGCTCCGGCACGGCGTGGTCACCCTCGCTTGGAGAGCTGCTGAGTGAAGTCAAGTATTTCAATACAGCTGCACAAATGTGGTATCAATATTTAAAGCCAGCTGGCTAGCTTTGCTTTCAGGAAAGCAATCTTTCTGCATTTTTTATAAGGTGAGCCAGGGTGTCCTTACCTGCTAGAATATATAATCATCCAAGAGACAATATCCGATAGCGTTACCTACCAAAATGGGACATTACAGGAACATCTCCCCTCACAATAGCCTGCTGTATGACCAACAATGCTCCATTTAGAGAGGAACAAATTGTGAGCATCTGCTTTTAATTTAGTTTACTTTTAAGGTGACTGATACCTTTTAAGCCCTTTGGGAACAACAAGGTATTTCTGTGGTTAAGGAAATGATAAACATGGAAGGCTGAGTAAGCACAATATGCCTTTTATACAACTGTTTAAGGACTTTATTTTGCTTTTGTTAGCCAACTTCCAAGTGAAAGAACTTGAAGAATCTTCTAAGGCTTGAACTTATGTATCTGTAAAATAACCATGTATTACTTCAGCTGCTCAGGGTTAATTTAAAGGCTTCTGGAGTTGCTGGAAACCTTTTTCCTTTTTGGGAAGTGCTGGAAAGCTTAATGACAAACAAAGTAACATTTTAGAATAGGCACAGAACTAGAATTTGTTAACAGCTCAAATTTTGAGCCATTTTTCTAGTTTTGCAGAATTTCCAGAGAACATTTTGGTGCTATCTCTGCTAAATAGGTTGGATAACACCAGTTTCTGTGGAAGGTACATTTTACAGGACTTCTTCCCAAAGGGAATGGCTTTCTTAAAAAGTGCCTAAAAAGGGCTTTTTTTTTTTTTTTTTTATTGCAGTGAAACGCAGTGAGCCGGCAGAGTGCTGTTGCTGCGAGCAGGACGATCCCCACTCCGGGGTCCTCAGGGGGAGCATGGCCAGCAGACCTCACCCAGGACCATGTCTGGCTCAGGAGGCCCCTGGCTCCTGAAGGCTGGGGGAGACCCGGCAGAGGCTGCCTGGGTGGCCAGAGGCTGGAGGACCCAGGTCCAGGAGGGTGGTGAGAGCCGGGCTGGTCCTGGCTGGCCAAGAGGGACCCAACAGCAGCCTGGGAGTGCCTGGAGGGGAGGTAGGAAGGTGGGGCATCCAAACTCTCCTGGGGAGTGGCAGGTGGTAAGGCAGGGGACACCGGCCACAGCTTGGAGCCTGGGAGCTTCGGGGTGGACATTGGGAAAAGCTTTTTCAGCAGAGGGTGGTGCGGCGTGGGAAGAGGCTGCCCAGAGGGCTGGGGGAGTCTACAGCCTTGGGGGTCTGCAAGGCTCGGGTGGGAAAACTCATCCAGAGCTGGTGACAGACCTGCTGTGAGTGGGAGATTGGGCTAGAGACCTCCAGAGGTCCCTTTTCCCTGATTCAGTGAAACTCTTCATCCAGCCTCCCGATCCCTCTGCGACTGCTTGCAAGTTGCCTTTCCCTGTGAGACACACACATCCTCCATGCAGGGCATGGGTGGGCGATTACTCTTCTTTTGAATGCAATGGCTTTAAAATCCTGCTTGTCTTTAGAGGGTTTTTTTCCGCTTTGCCTGCCTCTCTCTCCAAACAAGGATATGCTTGTGGTTCTAAAGTGGCTGCTGCGATTAGTGCTGTAATCTCCATATCAGCTTTTACATTTCAAACCAGAGAGGGATATTAATTCAATTCTAGTATCTGCTCCTTTCATACCTTTTCCCAAAACAGTGTTTGCTCAGCAAACAAATGAATCAGGAAAAGTCATAACTTTGTTCTCATCTTAAGGGTGATCAAATCTCTGAATTTCTACAAATCCCTTGGTGAATGGAAGTTCCTGCCAGACGGGGCGACCTGAGGAGCTAGACCACTGCACCTGGGAAGAGGAGGAGGGATGGACTGGCTCGAACGCGGCCGGCTCAGTGAAGCCACTGATGCTCCAAGGTTGCATCGGACAGGAACCATGCTGCAATTTTCTCGGGCGAGCCCACATGGCTGTGGGTTTGCTGTTGAGATGAGCACACGTGTGACTTCAGCTACGCTATCTGGAGCCCTCCAATGTTTACAGCTTTAGCGAGATGGACCTTTTTTCTGCTACTATCCATCTAAATACCTTGGTTTGTACAAGTCCAGTTTAGGTGCGCTGCTTTGCACGTGTTTATCTGTTGTTTTTTAAGAACTGTCCTCCTTATTCATTGCAAAACGAAGCCTGCTGGCAAGCGGGAAGCTGCTACAGATGTTTCCATGAGAAGGTTGCAGCTCTTCTTTCTGGTTAAGCTCCACAGACACATATCTAATTACAGCTTTGTGGCCGGCATGAGGTTATAGAAGGAGGAAAGTGCGTGCTGAAAATCAGTTTAAATGATTTGAGGGCAGCGACTTGGTGCTGGGGGGTGCTGCCTTCGCACCGAGGCAGGTTGCAAAATGCTGGCGGCACGCACAGGTACTGTGGGGAATAAAAATGCCGAGGAAGCCCTGAAGCTGAGGAAGCAGTCGGTGCTTTCCCTGGGGAGCAGAGAGAAAACCCTGAAGAGCTCCTCGGAAAGCGGGAAGGAGGGCCGAGCCCGGGCCGGCCAGCCGCAGCAGCGTGCCCGGCGGCTGGCTCTGCTGCGGGAGCTGGAGATGAACTGGTACCTGCGGGTCTGCGAGCTCTCCCACGAGTACACCATCGCCTACACCACCGGGATGCCCCACAGGTACGTGGCTGTTCGGACAGTAGCAATTTGCACTCCAGGAAATGATGCTGGTGGTGGCGATGATGATGATGATGATAATAATAATAATAATAGAAAGCTTTTGGCTTTATGAGTCTGACTTCTCTGATTATTCGGGTTGTTCTTTTTTTCCTGCACCGCAATGGATGTGGGTTACAGAGCTGAAAATTCTGCAAACTTGTTTCTTAGTTTCCCTAACTTCTTCAGCACAAACTGCAAGTTATTATTCAGCCTTATTTCTCACAAGCTGTTTTGTCCAAGTGACTGTAGTTTCATTAGAATTTAGTTGAAAGGTTGCTGCTGTTGTGCAGGGACTGGGTGGGTGACAGGTGAAAATGGCAGGAAAGCCTTTGCTGGGTGCCGCTGGCCCTGGGTCCCCGTCTCCCCCTTCCCTCCCCGGCCCCAGGCAGCGGCTGCGGCAAACAAGCTGCTCGGGAGGGGAAACCTGCAGCTGCTGAATTTCTAATTCCATCAATCTTAAATGTCGTGGCTTCCAGAATCTGATCTTGCTCCTTTAAAAATATATAAAGGGATCTTGGTATTAGTGGAAATTAGACGTGCGACTCTCTAATCTCCTGTGCTGAGTATGACCCTTAATGAAATAGGAACCTAAATATGAATTGCCTGACATTGCTGTCTCAGTCCTGGTGTCCCCGAACAGCAGCATCATGGGGACAGGGCGACTTTCGGGGACTGGCACAGGGAGGCTGTACATTTAATTTACTTCGAGGGACAGGGCTGCTTCCAAAGGGTTTTCAGTGTTTTGCCCAGCTCTACACAACTGCATCAGGAACAGTGGGGATTTCAGCTGAGAAGTCGGGTGAGATCTTCCCTAATCCCAGACACAAACTGAAGTTTTGCAGATACGCTGGGATTGGAAATTAATAAAAATGTCATTAGAATAAAAAATAGAAACAGGATAAGTGAAAGGAAAACAAGGTAAAACTATGAGAGATGGAGCAAGTAGCTAAGTGCAGAAATGTCTGACAAGCGCAATGAAGGGAATACGAGCGGGGCTGTAGACTGACTGAGCAATTTCTTGGGCACAGTGCTCATCAGCCACACCAGCCCGTTGGTTAGGCACCTGTGGTCTTAAATGGTGCGATAAAGCAAAGCTCTGGGGAATAACTTTTGGGAAAACTAGGTTTCTAATGATGCTGATCTGTTCAAGCTCTTAAAACTCCAAACCAGTGAAACTCTTATGTCTAAAAAATTCAGAAGAGCTTGTGGAAATATTTCTTTGTCATTGTTTCATCATGCATTATAGGTGAGCAGAGAGCTGGATCTGACAGGAGGTAAAACAAATGGGGGATTTATTTCAGGAGCCAGGGATGAGAGTGAATAAAGGGAGAAGTCAGGAGTTCCAGCTGGATGAACCATGCTCAGATGAAGCACGTTGCTGCCGAGCTGTCCACGCCTGCTGCAAGGCAGCTACAGGAGAGATCACAGCTACAGCCTTCGGTGTTACGCTGCTGGGAGGAAAAAAGTATGGTTCCTATGAGGCAGGCATGGCTGCAGTCACAGGGCACGCTTCCCTCCACTGAGTGTACTTGTGTTGCAAAGAGTAGAGCTTGAAAGCACTGCCTGCACCCCACCGTCGATGGTTCGACTCGGTCAGCACCACGAGAACAGGATTCCCCATCTTCGGGCAGCAGTGTGTCACGGTACCACGGGGCTGGGGCAGCCCTGGGGCGGCAGGGCAGGACCCCTCCGCTGCCCCAGCCTGGGAGATTGGGGACATTAAGGTCCATTAGGACCCTCAGGGCCCTGACACAACAGTTGCAGAGAAAGAATAACCGTGTAATCCAAATGTCCGTGCCAAACTCCCCTCTGTGACATTGAATTATAATCTTTTAAAATATGTTCTGGGTTTGGGATCAGTCTTTGTTTATCTGCTTTGAAAGACTTAAGGATTAGTTAAGTTCATGATACATCCATCACTTGATTATTTAACTTATTTTTCTGATGTATTTGAGATTGAAATGGCAGTCAGAAAATGGGTTGAGTTTTTAAAATAGAAGAACCTCAGAAATGTCTCCATGGTGTGTATCATACATCGTCATGATTTGTTCGCTGTGAGCTGCTGTTGGCCAGAAAAGGTTACTGCTGTGCTCCTGGATGTTATCTTGATTGGAGGGTGCTGGATGCCCTCGTGCACTGGCTTTGGTGATGCCATGAAACCTGTGCTTTTTCTCCCATCACCCCTCAGGGATGAAGACCCTGGGAACCAGACGCTTTTTCTTTGCTATTTAGCACTGGTGAAATAACTATTTGTTGGTTTGGTATGTTTATTTTTAGGCATAGTGCTCAGACATGTACCTGTGTCCTCGCCTGTTGCCCCGTGCCGAGAAGCACCCGGTTCTGTGGAGCTGGAGGTTTTGTAGCAGCTGGTGGCATCTCAGAGGCTTTGCTGGCTCTCCTCCTGCAGCCCCTCTCCATCCATGCGCATGCTCCTGAAAGCTGGTGCTCCTTCCCTGCCCCGGCTCCGATGTAGTTCATTCCTTTCTCAAGTACTTCCCCTTGTCTGTTTGCTTCTAGGTTGTTTTTTCTTGGTGTTTGACTGCTCCGTAGCCTTTGTTTTCTAATTAATTGTTGAAGCCCCAGGAGGCTGCAGATACTGAGGAAGTTTACAGACTGGGTAACCTGAGCTGTGAGAGTTTACAATGGACGATGAGAAAACAAAATGTTTTAACGACTTGCATAAGAGATGCTTGCAGCATTCATCTGTCCAGGCCAAGGCCTGAAATAAACTCTGTGAGAATATTTGTTTTACATTTATTGGCCTTGGATTGAATCCCAATCAAATATTTCTCATTATCTAAATATAAGACCTGGGAAACGGGGGTGGTGCTCTATTCCCACTGGCAGTCCTTATCCCTTGGAGCACTTGACCATTATAGGTTTCAGCAGATGAACAAGATTGCTGATCTTGGCCAGAATCCACCCTGGGCATCAATTAAAATGAGCCAGTTGCAATAATATAAAGAATGGCTGGGAAAAAAATACTGCTCCATAGTCCTGTGGTCCTCTGGGGCAACACAACCCAGCTCATACTGTCTTGTACTGCTGGGAGGGTGATGGCACTGGGCTCTCCTCTCAGCAGACTGTAGGGTAGAAGCTCCTGAAGACCCCACACTCCAGCATCTGCTGGGCATTGAGGGTCTCTCTTTGCAGCTCCGCATATGGACCATGCATTTGTACAAGCCCGCCTGTGCGGATATCCCACCCCACAAGCCAAGCCTGCAGAAACCGAGCGAAGCACTCCTGAAAGGTAAAAAGCAAAGTGTGGTTCCCAGAGCCTGCCCTCCCGCCACGGGCTGGCCGGGCAAGCTGAGCCGAGCCGCTGAGCTGAAGCAGCTGGAGAAGTTCCTGCACCTGCATGGGCTGTCGCTGCAAGAGACCGTCCGAGCTGAGACGGGAATGAAGTACAGGTACTTCTGCGTGTCCCTTGCTGTGGCACTTGGTGGCTGTCTGTTCAGTGGCAAACAGCTAAAACTACGGAAAACGTGACTGAGCAACCTGTGCACACCTTCAGGCAGGCTTACAGAATCTGAAGACGTTGTCTGCTTTAGTAGCTTTTCTTCTCGAAGTTTTCTGAGCGCCATAAGAATTAGCACGACTTTGAGCAAAGCTAAATGCATGAGATCTATTCTCTTAAAACTTTGAATTTGATGTTTCTCTTCCAACGTTAGTTGTTTGTGTCCATCTACTGAACTGCCTCTTTCAAATTGGGGTAAAAGTATTTACTCTTTCCGATGTTTTAATGAAAATTCGTTTATTTATGTGCATTAAAAGGATAATGGCTGAACAGCAAAACAGAAAACATGGAGAATAGATGTGTTCTGACTGTGGCTGGTGCTTCGAAGTGATGTCTGTCCCTGCTCTGCCCTAAAACTGGAGCAAATGGACTGAAAGCCTGAGAACCAGAGTCTGGCTGGGTTCAGGCTGGGAAGTACATGTCTTGTGTGTTAGAAAGAGCGTGCAAGGGAGAGGACCTCATCCATGCAGGGAGCTGGGACAGCCTGGGGAAAGAGGATGTAGGCTGGGGGATGATGGGTGAAGAAGACATCGGCATGCTTAGTTTATCAGTTGTCGTTTTGTTTTGTTTCAAAAGAGATTAATTTTAAAAGAATGACTTCCCATATTGAAAGTAGATACATTCTCTGTGCTTCTAATAAAAGAAATTTTTCTTCAAAATGTTTGCTTTCCCAAGAGATTGACTTTTGCCCGTGGCCAGTCTGAGCTTAAAATTGAAATAAGAAAACACATTTACTCTTTTTATGGAAACAGCACCGTTGTGTCACAGCTTTAGCTGCTGGCCAGGGAAATTTGTTGTTGTTTGGAGACACTGTCCAGGGAGGACCGAGTGTGTAAGAGAAGTGCTTTGGAGCCAGCATCAGAAGAAACGGCAAAGGGCTTTGTACCTCTGTCCTGCCGGTGCCGGCTGGGAATCCCTGGAGCAAGTTGGGGTTACACAGCCTTGAGAGCTGGTGTAAGTAAGCAGAGAACTGAGCCCACAGTGTTCGAGTGATGAAAAGGGAAAATGTCCAAAGGCAATGGAACGGCATCGCAGGGATGCCATGCTCCGAGCAGAGCTGTGATAGAAGTAATCCCTGGTGTCATTCTGGGTTAGCAGGAGCGATGCTGTCCCCGAGCGAGATACTCTGATTAACTGGGGTTTTTTTGGATCTGGAAGCTTGCCTCCCTTCTAATGAGAAATTATTTTGCTCCTCTTCTGATGATCCTAATCGCATGTGGCAGTTGCGTTTGAAACGGTTGGTGTTAGTACACACATGAAAATCCCCATTTATCTTATTTCTCTGCTAATTCTGCACTTTCTATGGTGTTGATCCACTCCAGACATAGTTTAACACTTACTGTGCCCTTGCTGAGAAGCACAAGTAATGTCGTAGTCACACAGTGTTCCCATAAAGCAGTTATGTTCTGGTGTCTAATGTTTCCTCCACCCAAGATTATCCTGC